TAAGTATCATTCCAATAGTGCCGTTTAATAAACACTAGCAACAGATTCATTCGACGGGAATCAAAGTTTAATGATAGAACGACAACAAACATTTGACATGTGTGTGTACGATAACAAACGTTTAATTCTTGAAAGTTTCGGAATGTATATATTCTACCTTCAGCAAGCTATATTGAACAAGGTAAAATATTAGGTACAAAAATTTCTAAATTTCTGAAGTTCCAATATTTTTTAAACAGGAATTAATATACAGAGCAAAATGATGAAGTTAATTAAAAAAAACAAAAACAAGAAATAATAGGATACTGAAACAATTGTAACACTATTATACAAGCTATTCAAAACAGACTTAATTGTAGCAAAGTTGGGAGTTTATTTATAATAGATAAGTTTTCTTTAATTAAAGGTTCAATACTGGATGATCCAGGTGAGATGACTGAAATTTTCAATCAAGAAGGGGTGGTTGCTATTTTCACCACATGTGCGAATTTCGGAGTCTGGGGGATTTGACGGTTGTTTACCAGTTCCGCTTGATACTCCCATAGATTCGCAGGTGTAATTGGCGATTAGTTTTGTTAATGTAAGTGGCATTACAGCCACCACGTGTGTATTTATACACGATCCTAGAGCGTATAGGGGTAGGTAATAGATATTTATACCTGAATATATCTTAAATCTTGAAAGATGATTTAAGTATCATTTGTGGTTTAATCTGTGGGTAAAAAAGTTTTAACTATTCTTAAAATTTGTGACTTCATTATGAAACTTTGTTCACCTAAAAAGTCTTAATTGGTATTTGTCAACAGTATATGGTTTCTATGGTGGTTCAATTTTGTTAGGAAGGAACTTTCGTCTTAGGGAAAGGGATAGCCGTTGTATATTAGAATATTCTGTAAGTTGGTTATTTCGGTATGGAGAGAGAGGTAGTCAAAGCAAATGTTATATGCTTTATTGAGAAAACTGGGTATAAGGTTATGTTTAAAGGAGTTCGGAATAAAACTGTCGAAACACGTATGTAAGCCTGTATATGTTTTCTTAAGACAAACAGATGTTGTAAACGGGTTATCTAATCTGCTGATTTGAATATCAAGAAAAGGCAATTTACAGTTTCTTAATTTCACAAGTAAAGTCAATATTAGGGTGTTTCGAATTTAAATAATCCAGGGATTATTTGATGTGATTAGAGCTTCGAAAGAGTAAAAATGTATCAACATACTTTCTATATAAAGCCGGTTTGTATTTAGCAGGATAATCCAGGGATTGTTTGATGTGATTAGAGCTTCGAAAGAGTAAAAATGTATCAACATACTTTCTATATAAAGCCGGTTTGTATTTAGCAGGATAATCCAGGGATTGTTTGATGTGATTAGAGCTTCGAAAGAGTAAAAATGTATCAACATACTTTCTATATAAAGCCGGTTTGTATTCAGCAGGATAGGTGTCATTCTTCCATATGAACTTTCAAATTATTTGTACTATTATCATATACGGAAAAGAAACGTTATGTAAGAATAATACATTAACCTATACATTATTCAATTAAGTAATTTAAAATCTGGATTCTCGTTACCTCAGTTTTCTAAAAAAAGAAGACAGAGGTTGAAAACTTATAATATTGATTCTACAAGTAATGATGTATTTAAAAGTTTCGTATGTTATTTTAAAGTGTGGCTACAGAATCACGTGAACGAACTTGTAAAAAAGTAGAAGGGACACAATCAAATTCTGATAAATCTCAGAATTCTGTAAACTACTGTAGCGCACAGTAACAAAGTTAAAACTTAATATATAAAACTGATAATTCTTAATTAAAGCTATGGAGTAAAATATCCATGCACCCTCTATGATCTGGAAATAAAAACGCTTTTAATGTCACAATTATATTTGTATAGTAATAAATAGTTTTATTTTTCATAATGATTTAGTATTCAAGTTATTCCAATTTTGAATATTTATCAATATTTTATTAGTGTCATGGCATTGTAAAACCGTTAAATTTATACAATTAAAGTTTTCCTTTACCTTTATACAAGTATTGAAAGGACGTTCCATATGTGTTTTTTGAGATTGGTAAATAAAATGTTCTAAAATAAGAACTAGTTGGAAAAATCAAGGCATTAAAGATTTTATTACTGGTAGAAATTAGGAGACTTATGTAACAGTTTTTTATTAAATGAATTAAAAAAGTTTCTTTCTATACATGAAATTCTGTTACTGCATAAAAATTATGTAGTTAAAGTATTAAATATTTTGTACATAGTTACTCTCCATAATATCTGAGTGGTTAATCTTTTTTCTATTTTGGTTTTATAAAGTACTGTTTCTTTAATTTTCTTATATAAACATGCAATTTTGTTTTAATTTTAAGATATAAAAAATTAAACCAGTCGTAAGTAGAATTAACTTTACAAGGTTATTCACTTCAATTACGTTTATAATTTGCTCTTAAAATGACAAATCACTTCAGTAATAACCTATTTTGAAAGAGAGGTGAACTGAACAATACCCATACAAAATGTAGTACTGTTTAGTGCACATATAACCTCATAGATGGCAGCTAACTCGATATTTTAAGTTTGTTTTGATGGAAATACACTTCCACCATTACAGGGATAGATAACTTGTGAGTATATATTTACATATAATTTTGTATGCATTCATTACTACATGTTCAGATCAATATTAAACGATACTATTTATTAGTTTATTTATTTTTTAATAATATCTTGAAAGGAAAAAAAAACTTTCTTGTAATGAGAATCTTGTGTAATTATAAGAAGTCATAGCTTTGTCAATATTTATAAATGTATACATATACAAGGATACAAAGATAAATATTGATAATGGTTAGTAAATAAACTATGACATTAAATGTTAGTTGAAAATATAAAACCAGGTTTTTCAAATGTTTGAAAGCGAGTCCACATCCTGCTAACCACACTTTTTGCAGACTTATTGCTCTCCACACATGGAAATGTCCACATGTCTTCATTGGTGTCCTGTCATGTTTTACTTTCAAGCTAGATATCTTTACACATACTATTGTTGCTCATACTGTTTGCTGGAAACACACTGTGTTTCCTTACTTTTATATGCTACTGAAGTGTCGTATCAGATCAAATGACTGGTCACTTGACATTTGTTTTGCCTTAAAAATTAACTTAAGAGCTATGCCTTGTCAAAGCTAGAATATAGAAAACTCCGATTACTATTTAAATGTTCCGAGAAGAATAATTCTAGTAATAGGTGTTCACGGTTTGTTGTCGTCAAATATCGTTCATCATAATCCCAAAAGTAACCAACATGAATACAACATTAGTCCAGAAGACTAAAATGAAATCACCGAACCTACTGATTTGTAAAGCCCTGTTTTATAATTACTCACATGACCTTTTGACACTTAAAACCATGTTAAGTTAACAAAACTAGTTGTAATGGTTTTAAACGAGACCCAAAACTCGAGCGTTTTCGAATAATTCACTATTCTTCTATATTATCCTGAAGAAGAACAGTGAACTATTCGAAAGCGCTCGAGTTTTGGATCTCGTTTTAAAACCATTACAACTTTTGTGTTAACCTCTTAAACAGAATAAACAAAACTAGAATATTCAGCTTTACTAGGACGTCTGAGTTACTAGTGTGGGTATCATCGCTGGTATAGATTTATGTTAGATTTTTTTCAATATGTTACACAGGATGTGCACGGTTAAACACCACATTCATGAAAAGGATCATGAGTAAAATGGACGTCTTTTCGCTATTCTGTTGTTCTTCAAAAAATCAAAATATTTATACGAGTTATACAAATAAACATTTTAGACAAATAATCTGTTTGAATAATGAATAGGCCATAATTTCGTTTCAAAAACGTTTCTTAAGTATTTAGAGGAGTTTTATTTTAACATCTTCTCGCAACAGTTAATTTCTGCTTATCTAAAATTAATTTTAAAATGTCAGACTTTTGTTACACCAAAAACATTCACCAGAGGCGTCGGAACTGGGGCTGCTGTAGCACCCCCACTTTTACATATTTGCCTTATATAGTAACTGTAAGTTATATTATTATATTAATGCCCCCATAGATTGAGTTGCCTTTGGCAGCACGGGAGCTGTTCTTAGCAGCTTCTTATACTTCAAATCTCTCACTGTAAAATCTGTATGTCTAGCCAAGCAACCCCACTTTGCAATTCCTTCCAACACCACTGTTCACAGTTTTCTTTCTTTCTTCAGTATATTGATGACTAATATATTGATTTTTCAAACTCCCGTTGTTTGTTAATTTATTTCTGACACGATGTATAATTAAACAAACACGAAAGGTGTATTGTAAAGATACTGGGTACGTTCCGAAAAGCCTTTTGTTATTGTACTAAAGAAAATTCTGTTAAAATGGTTCAAAACACGTATTCTAAGTGACAAAAATATACCCGTGTAACTAAATGATTAAAGAGTAATCATAATAAATCCTAAAATAATGACGGTAACCTCACCTAGGCTCATAAATTCTGAATATACTGCTGCACTAAAAGTATTAGACATGCCTCGAACATGTGTAAGGAAAACGAGTTCATATAAATATAGTACAGACGGCTGATAGGGGCATTAAAAAATCCTTATTTAATACCCATATCAGCCGTCTCTACTATATTTATATTTAATTCAAATGGATTCCTCGTCAGCACGAATTATTTCACCAATGAGTAAGTTCAAATAGACAAACCAAACAGTAATATTAGAAGTGTTGAAGTGTCTGCAAGATGCAAAATATTATAAACATCGTAATATTTATATATGTTTCTACCATAATATACGGATTAATATTTGAATTTCACTGTTTACACCAATAGATGACGTTCTTCTGTATACCATTTTAAAAATAATTGTATGACAAGATGCACATTTCAGTGGTAAGCAAACATACTTTAACACGAACGCACACTTTCTTTGTTCTGAAAACAAATATAACAAAACACACATGTGGTGGGATGAACTTTACTTACCTGAAACTCTCTCAAAGTCTGCCACATCAAAATTTCTAAATACTCCCTGTTTTCCACAGCGGTTTCTAAGATATAGACTAATAGCACAAAGTAAATGAATATTCATGGTATTAAAAAAATACCCGTTTCTCAGTTCGCTATCATTACTGAATATTGTCTTTGAAATAACTTATTTACTCAAATAAAGATTACTTTATTATGTGTAAATTGGTAATAAAGATTGTATAAGTTTTGTTTTTTGTGGATTTTGACAGCGAAATTATATTGCGAACAAGCATGCCCGGATTAAGCCTACTGAGGGCCGCGGAACTAATGTATTTTTAGGGGTGCATCGATAAAATTTCCAGCCCTTGCATTAATTCAGCTCTGCTAACAAAACAACATAAATATCTCATCTTCAGTCATGTGTTATCTAAACCATTATTCGACAAAAGTCTCTATGTCTCCAAATGTGGCAGGTACATTTAAGGATTCCCAGGGGAGTGAGATAGTGAGGGGGGGGGCGTTTTTCGGATCTGAGTCTTGTGCCTTCTGTGCGCGTTGATTAGGTGCATCAGCTAATAACCTATATACTGCTGTAAACCTCTTAACAATTAAAACTATTTAGAGTTACATTACTTGTTAGGAAAGTAATAATTTGTCCTCTTATGTGCTTGTAATTTATATCAATATCTAGAACTATTTCCATAAACTGGTGATAAATTGTTGACAAAGATAAACTTAAACATTTAAAACCAGTAACTAATTAGAAAACAAAAAACAATACTGGGATATAAAATATTTCTGGAATTCTCATTTTTCAGTAAATCATCAACCTAAGATACATACTTTTATATTACTTCTTGCAACACATAAGAACTAATACATTAGATTTTTATTAATTCTATTAAATGTATGCCTAACTATTCGTAAGTATCTAGATGAGTTTCATTTTAAAATTTTTTCACAAAAGTTAATTTCTGTTTATATGAAATTAATTTATAATGTTACAGTTTTGTTACACCGAAAACTTTTCTAGTTGATCTTTCTTTCTTCAGTACTTGAATATCAAATACATCTTGTTATATCCGATTCTATTTCAAATTACTGACTAAATTAGCTGCTTAACAAGATGAAGACACTTGAAGATGACACGCCCGAGAAGCTACCTGTTTAATAAACTAGTCGGGAGATAACTAACCAAGTTTTCAGAGGTTCTTCATGAATTGGAAATGAAACCTAGATGTAAAGATAAAGCTAAGTGAAGTGGTAACAAATGAACGGCTTGTTTGAAAATCAGTTTTTGTTACTGTTTTGGGTTAAGTATTTTTTTTAATTCTTACTACAATCAGGAGTTTCAGTGATAGAAACAGGTTCGATAATATTCTAATTTCTTGTTGAAATGGCCTCCGGTGGGACAGCGGTAAGTTTATGGACTTACAACGCTAGAATCCGAGGTTCGATTCCCCCGCAGTATACACAACAGATAGCTCAATGTGGCTTTGCACTAAAACAAACGAAAGAGGGGCGTGAAACAAATCTGATTTTAAGTGAAAGTTTTCTACACACTTTTTAAAGTTTTGATCAATAATAACGTAAAAATAATACCCACGAATAACAGATTTAGCTTCGTCAGTAGTTCGTTATAAGCCTGTTATACAATGTTGATATTTCATACTCACCTAGAAGGGACCGCTCACATATTACAAGGTAGGTATTAGAGCAATAAAATAGCTGCCAGAGGAAATTCGCAGAACCCTGCATCCGTACGCAGTTGTAAAGAATGGTGTTCACTGGTTCTCCAGGTGCCCAGGGCCAACTCACATTTAGATCCAGTTCAGTTCCATCTTTGAAAACCATCTGACCCTCAGTGGCTATATCACTTAACCCAATCCATACTGAAGGGGTGTTTTGACCTTGATTCCTTATGTAAGTTTTACAGAAGTTAATTAAAAGGTTAGCTGTGGACAGGTCGGAAGGGGTAGCCAATTCTTGACCAATATTTTTACAGTAGACGTCAGCGTTCTCCCACGTTGTCGATTCGTCGAATAGTGTAAAACATCGGTTGGTGGAACACATTTCATCTGAAATCAAGACAAAGATTGGTACTCATATAAGCACAGAATTCTGTAATACTTGAATATAACAGGAAGTGGCAAACATATTATTGGGCGATTCATTGTCATATATTATAAGATGATCTCAATCAATTGAATAGTATACCATTGAAATGAACCGTTTGTAGGGAAGCTAATGCAGTAGTAAATCAACAAACAACGATTTGGTAACATTAGCAGACTTTGTTCGATTTAGAAGAAAGCCACATTAGGCTATCTGCTGGGTCCACCACAGGGAATCGAACTCTAAAATTTAGTGTTGTAAATCCGTAAAATTACCACTGACCCACCGACGGACGAATTTTGGTTGAGTGTATTCTCTTCGTATTCTTTCTCGCACTTGACGAGACCAGATAATTTCCTTAAGTCGTAAACCTCGCTTTTAAAATTTCAACGCTCTCACGTGACGAAATTATTTCGATCTGTAAACCTAATAAACTCACATGCCATTGTCTGTTTATAAACTATGTATGCTTTAGCAACCTTTTATAATATACCTAGAGAATACGGACCTAGATGCTGTCGAAACATATAATATGTTTTCCAAAATAAATATCATTGTTTTTACAAGTCGTTGTTTGTTAATTTCTAACTCAAATGAACCTGTTTGCTTTTCAATGCAAAATAGCGCACCTATCGGTACAGCATTATTGGACGTACTCTATGGGAGACTTTTTGAATCAATTTCCTTCTAAAGTAATCCTGGACAGTATGAAGTCATACCAATTTCAGATCTAGTATCTTGCACATAAGAACCTCGTCACTCGTTAGTTTTTAAAAGAAAAGGAAGTAAATATATTTTCTCGGCCATCCTGTCCCCCGTTGGGACAGCGGTAAGTCTATGGACTTTTTTAACGCTAAAATCCTGGGTTCGATCCCCGCGGTGGACACAGCAGATAGCCCAATGTGGCTTTGCTCTAAAACAAACAAACTCGGTCATTCTTACCATATGTTTACTGTTGTTAAATAAACGAAATGTTTTCTTGTAAGCTATTCAAAAAATGAGGTACAATTGTGATTTTATAATACTAATGAAAACACACACACACGCGCAAACATATATACCTTAACCTCCCATCACCCCCAAATAATCTATTACAGCATAAGTTTGTTGTGGCCATTTCAAAGTTTTAGTGAACCTTACATGACACAACATAAAATTGTATCAGCATACTATTATTTATTCGTTTTCTTACAGCATAAAACTACACAACGCCCTGTCTGCAATGCACCTCTCAGGGAACGAACCCCGAATTTTAGCGTTGGTACTCGCTCTAAGGTAAAAAGTTTGAGAAGAAACTGATAGTTTACCATAATTTCAGTAATTACCTCCACTGTTAAGTTCGGAATTAAAAACAGGCAAAAATGAAATATAAGGATGAATATAACAACGGCAAAAGTGTGCCTATTGCTGTGAAAAAAAAGACGTTTGCTATTTGTTAAACGGAAAATTTTATTAATGTTTATATCCATCTATCAAGAAAGAGTTAAAGTAAGATATTTTTGCCCGTCTTCTTGTGTTTTAAACCAAAGTTACTAAAATTATCTGGAATCTCATTAGATAGCAGCTTGAGTTTATAATAATTACGGAAAATATATCGATTCTTATATAATTGCTTATTACTGGAATTAGAGGAAAGTTATACGTCTAATGATTTACAGTATAAGGATCTAGCCTGTATTGTCATTATTGTATTTGACGTCTAGTGATTTACAATATGAAAATCAGGCCTGTATTGTCATTATTGTATAGGATTGGTTTGTTTTGAATTTCGCGCTACTCTTGGGCTATTCTTTTACCAACAAATGGTGGAATTGACCGTCACTTTATAACGCTCCCATGGCTGAAAGGGCAAGCACGTTTGGTGGGACGTGGATTCGAACTCGCAGCCCTCAGATTGCGAGTCAAGCGCTCTAACTACCTGGCCATGCCGGGCCCAAAATTTCATTTTTTTTTATAAATAATTAAATGAGATTTGTTTGTTTGAAGTTAAACATAAAGATACAAAATGGGCTATCTGTGCTCTGCCCACCACGGGTATCAAAATCTAGTTTCTAACGGTATTAGTTCGCAGACATTCCGCTGTGCCATTGGGGGGGGGGGCATTGTATAGGACGTCTAATGCTTTACAGTATGAGAATCAGACCTGCATTTTCACTATTGTATTGAACTTCTAATGACTCACAGTATGAGAATGTATTGTTATGATTGTATTGGATAGAAAGTGACCAAGTTAATTTTTGGTTTTATTTTATATATATATCATATGCCAGCGCTCGAAGTGGAAGAAATCAGTGGCGGTTTGAACAATCGGCGTAGTATAGCCGGGAGGGTCTCTTTGGAAATTCTGAAGTTAATTTTTAAACTTATTACAGTAGTTGTCCGCTATTAACTCCTTATTGGATTAACAAAATCGTAACTGTGCCGTGAATTGTAAGACGATATTCAAGTTCATGAAATGTTCATGTTTAGAACAAATCAACAACATGTGAAAAACTGAGTTGAAAACGAATGCTTTTACAAGAAGAAAAGCGGACTGAAAATCAATTATTCTTTCTGGATATTCACGAAAGGGGGAAAAAAAACATCAATGTTCGTATAAAGAGGCGAATGAAAGACAATGATTTAGATGGGATGATTAAGATCTTCGTAATTTTAAACCCAAGGTCTTGCTAGAAACCGGGTTTCGATACCTGTGGTGGGCATAGCACAGATAGCCTATTGTGTAGCTTTGTGCTTAACTACAAACAAACAATAAATAAACCCAAGGTCTTTAACATGGAAAGTTAGTATTTATATTTATTAGTAATACTGTAACCCAAAAAAGTTTTTGTTAAAGTAAATAACAAATACTATATCAAATGACTTTGGTCTGGCGACAGATCTTACTATAATCAAAACGTTTTTTTAAATATACATAAAT